ATGCGTTATACAGAGGAAAGATGAAAAGAAAAAATACCATCTAAACTTTTCTAAAGACAGTAAGTGCGCTCAGACATACATTCATATAAACTCCTACCCCCTAACTGAATCGCGATTTGTTTAGCATCTCAACCGATTTGAATCGTCACATATTTGAATCGATTTTCAACCGTTTCACGGTTAATCGTTACATCCCTACTTACAATGCCTTTGGGAAATATTGAGCCGTTTTACTTAAGATGCCTTCAAAGAAGATACCAAAAATGATCATAACCGATGCCCCTCACATATGCTGACTGATACCAGCATGGCGCCGCAAATGGCAGCAAGGACGCTGAGCTCCGCGATTCTTCTATTGTTTTTGTTTGTTTGTTCTGTGTTTTGTCATTCTTCTTCTATAAGTTTTACCAGAGACGAACTCCTTAACATTATCAATACCATCATGCCTGACCTTCTCTCAGACAAACTCACCCAGCTCTCCGTGCCCACCTCCATCTGTCAGTGGATCACCAGCTTCCTGACAGACAGGCAGCAGCTAGTGAGGCTGGGCAAACTCACATCCAGGACTATCACCATCAGCACTGGCGCTCCCCAGGGATGTGTACTCTCCCCACTGCTCTTCTCTCTCTACACGAATGACTGCACCTCTAAAGACCCCTCTGTCAAGCTCCTGAAGTTCGCAGACGACACTACAGTCATCGGCCTCATCAAGGATGGAGACGAGTCTGCTTACAGACAGGAGGTTAAAGAGCTGGCTGTCTGGTGCAGTCTTAACAACCTGGAGCTTAACATGCTCAAAACTGTGGAGATGATCGTGGACTTCAGGAGAAAACCCCCTGCACTCCCCCCACTCACCATCATGGACAGCACTGTGACTGCAGTGGAGTCATTCAGGTTCCTGGGCACCACTATCTCTCAGGACCTGAAGTGGGACACTCACATAGACTCCATTGCAAAAAAGGCCCAGCAGAGGTTGTACTTCCTTCGCCAGCTGAGGAAATTCAACCTGCCACAGGAGCTGCTGAAACAGTTCTACTCTGCTATCATTGAGTCTGTCCTGTGTTCATCCATAACTGTCTGGTTTGGTTCAGCAACCAAATCAGACATCAAGAGACTACAACGGACAGTCAGGACTGCTGAGAGGATTATTGGTGTCCCTCTGCCCAGCCTCCAAGATCTTTACATCTCCAGAGTGAGGAAAAGGGCTAAAAAAATCACCTTGGACCCCTCACACCCAGCCCACTCTCTCTTCGAACTGTTGCCTTCTGGTCGGCGCTACAGAGCACTGACCACCAGAACAGTCAGGCACAAGAACAGTTTTTTCCCACAAGCTATATTCAGTCTGAACAATTAATCTTTCATAATTATACATCGTCCATCACAACTAACATAGTTATATTTATATTAAACTGCACACTTTGTAAATAACATATCTGCACACTAATAAACATATATGTACATTTATCTAAACAATTACATTTTTTCCTATACTTCTATTTCTGTATATAGTACATTATTCAATTTTTCTTTTTTTTATTATATTAGTGTTATATTACATCCCTACTGTGTTATTCCTATGTATGTCTGCACTATCATGTATGTCTGCACTATGTTTGTACTTTCTTCTACACTGGAAGCTCCTGTCGTCAAGTCAAATTCCTTGTGTGTGTAAACATACTTGGTAATAAAGCTCTTCTGATTCTGATTCTGATTCTGATATCTGATATTCTGATTTGAAAATTGAATAAAACGGCAAAAAAAAAAAAAACTAGCTAGGTTAGCTCATTACTTGAAGTCCACTGAAATCGCCATCAGTTCATACTGCTGTTAACACTTTCTCTGTTTTCAGGTTTGGTCAGGTGACGTACAACATACAGTGTACCCCACTGGAATCAATCATAAGGAGAGTCTCATGTTCAGTCCAAGACACGATTTTGCCTTATCTATCATAAATTTGTTTTATCTACCAGCACCGTGGCAGGTGATCTCTCTTAGAAAATAGCTGCCCATGTAGGATGAACACAGAAGAACAGCTCAATGGATTTTGGGAAAGAGCCATGGACATGCTGTATTAAGTATAAAATAAAAACTAAACTCTTTCCTCTGTTGTATCTTTCCTTTTGCATGTAACAGCAGCTTGCAGATTTCTTGGGAAAACAACTGCAGAGGAAAGAAGATTATTCAGAGCAGGGCAAGCTGTGGAACGCTGGAGAGCCGGCAGAAAAGATGGGACCTCAACCTTGACAGGAAACGAGAGAGATCAAAGGAGGGATTTAGAGCTTTCAGGCTCCCACTTTCTCTTTCTCGAAGGGTGAAACAAAACAAGTGATTTAGAAAGAGTGAGACAAGAAGAAATAAAGAAGCTGGATAAACTGAAATGGGGCGAGCGGGAGAAAAGATACAGAGAGAAAGACAGATCTTCTGCATTGCCTCCAACTTTCAACTGAATTATAGGAACCAATTTCAAAATAGCATTCTCTGATTTCCTGGCAGGCTACACTGAAAACCATTTTCACTCTTCGTACATTAGAGTAAATGTGCAGACAGCCATACGAAACTTTTCGCCACATATTACGGCAACACCGCTCAACACTCTCGACCTTCGCTGATCCACTCCCACTAAATAGAGTTGTATTTGTTTCCCATAATGATCCCTGGACAGTACAGACCCCCAACAGAGCTCCTCTGTTACCTGCCAGATGGGGTCCCTCTCCTCAGGGAAAATTTGGAAATATCTCTGCGCCAGCTGTACAGGCGGGAGAGTCTGCAGTTTCAGGTTGGTCCACATCTGTATGAACTTCACCAGGTTCTTGAAGGTGTACAGGCCGAGACGATCATTCCCGTAGTTGGACAGGTGGGTCATGAAGATGCTGATCTGGTTTAAAATAAAGCGTAAGAAGTCATTAAGCGCTCAGCCTATTAGATTAATGAATAGTTGACTTTTAAAACAAGCTGTATTTCCACAGCCATTACTCCAGTCTTCAGTGTCACATGATCCTTCAAAAATCATTCTAATATGCTGATTTGGTGCTCAAGAAAAATGTCTTAACTTTGAAAAACATTTTTGTGGAAACAAATTTAATTTTGATTAATAAAAATGTTCAAAGAAGAGCCTTTATTAGCAATACCGTGGAAATTGTCTGTAACATTATACATGTCTTAACTGTCACTTTTTTAGCAATTTAATCAATGATTGTTGAATAAAATTATAATAAAAAATGTATTATATAAAAAATAAATAATAAACTCATTTTGAATAGTAGCATACATATGTATTATGTAGAAATAATACTGTTTAAAGTGCCCCTATTATGGATTTTTGGAAATTACCTTTAATGCAGTGTGTAACACAGCTCTAAGTGAATGAACACACCCTGCAAAGTTTTAAATCTGAAAGTGCACCGTATATAAAATTATTGTCTCTCAAAAGAAAGAGTGGACTCTGAATCATTGAAACCAGTCGTTTTTAAAACGAATCCCAAGCCATTTTATGTTGATGTCAACATGAAACATTAGCACATTGCCAGCACACTTGTTGGTCTTTTCGCGTTGATCTGAATGAAAATGCAAATTCATTCTTTGCCACTAGGTGCCGCTTTTGGAGGGGTAAAATAGCGGTTTCCCCGGTAACGCTGTACACAAAGCAACACTGCGCTCACAAACGCTGCTTTATCAGGCATTACAGGCATGATGAAATTAAAATGAGACCAATCGGAACAATCACCACAGATTAGCGTCACGCAAAGGATGGGTTTGGAATAATTAATCGTCGAGCGAATCGTTTGGGAGTCGTTGAGCAAGTAATAACTTGCATATTATAAGACAATAAAAGTGTTTTTTGACCATGCATGCATGTCAACCTGTTGTTGGGGACTCCCAAAACCAAAATATTAACCTTTCATTACCCATAATAGGGGCACTTTAACAAAAGAAAAGTTTCAAAGTTAGATTACAAAATTACAAAATATATGACCAATATATTACCAAAATTTGCGCATTATTTTAAAAAGTCTTTAAAGGAATTATCTAACTGTAAATCATACAAGATATATTAACAGCTATAAAGGATTGTGAGTGACATATTCAATACTTTCATTAAATGCAATCAATAAATACATTTTTAGCTTCAATTTCACCTTTCAAGATTAATAATTAATATGGCACTCCCAATCCTTCATAGAAATATGGCAAGTTTGCAAATAATACATTTGCAAATAAGATTTGAGAGCTACAGTGTACAGGAAGATTTACAGTGAATAACGGAAATTACTTCAAAACAAAAAACAACAGATCTTGGCCCAAAAGTCATAGTTGTAATCTTTATCATGTCTAAACCAGTGTGTGCAATACACTGTGTCACTACTTACTGGGTTGAGAAGCACAGTTAGGAAAAGCTCTCCTCCATTTATGAGTTTGTCCAGCTCTTTAGAGCCTCCAGGATACTCATTGTAGAAGATGGTGTGAGTAAAGAGACCACAGGTCTGTCTGGGCAGCACCTGAAAAACAAAGACATTTCCTTTCACTATGTAATAACTTTATTTAAAATAATGTTAACTGCCTTGGCAAAAAAAAAAAAAGCATAAGAGCCATATATATACACACACACATTTATGACGGCATATCAAATCCAATTTTATATACAGTAAATTAGATTTTTTTTCTAAAATCACAATCTACACATATTTAGAAATTTTATAGACGCTATAAGCCACTTAAAAAAGTCTGTTACTGAGATTTTAACATGGTTAAGGAGCATTGTAGGCTTGCTGAAAAAAAAAAAAAAGCAAAAAAAAAGCATCCAAGCAGAAATGTTTGTTTTTGGTTATATGGCCAATTAGCTTTGGTGTTCACAGCTCCACATGTGCAAACAAAGAAACATGTATTTCGTCACCCATAATACGTAATCTCATTTGAGAGTCATTTTAGACTGGACTGGCAAATGAATGACTGTCTGACCTCAGCGTTGAAAAATGAAGTACAATAACTGGAGCACATCCACTAGAGTTGACATGTAACGAGTTGGAATGCTTCTGCTCTAAGAAAACAGCATCCCCAATAACGTGGCCCACACATCAGCATACATGACCTTATTTGACAGCCAGTGATGGTAGAATGAAGATGGTTTACATTAAATGTGCTTTTTCCCTCATTCTGAAAGGATTCTTTACATAATACATGTATATAATGCATGATGAGACGACTGTCTTTGCTTCTTCATAAGCATCTTTCCCTGATATGAACCACGGATAATAACTGTATGTCAGGATAAGGAAATGTTAGATGGCCCTTGTGTGCATTTAAAAAAATATATACAACATAGCTGCTGTATATGATTCTCAAGGTGATTTTGTTTCTCCCCATTGTTGCAAGTTCACATACATTCTTACATTCACACGCACACACAGAAACTGCTCTGTCATGATTCACCGAGCTTTTGTCATACTCTGTTGTCCCCTGAAGCAATGCACAGTTGATAAAAAATAAATAAAAAAATAAAGAAAATTGTACTTTCACAAACAGTTTGCCCTTAACCCCCCACTGGGATCCAAAGCTCAAACCATACACAAAATAGCCTGGGGTTTATCGTACTGAATCCAGCCGGAATAAGAATTCAACATACTATCGTTTAACCATACAGCTGAACAGGCTACAGTCCGAATAAAAATGTGCCATCTGTTTTTTTTATAGAGGAGAACTAAAGCCTTAGTGCATTGGCAATGCATATGTTAGCAACATGTTTGTCCCAAGGATACAGGTTCAAGTCTGTTATTTCCAAATTCCATTCTGCCAATTTCTCCCACTTTTTATCTTTACTTTACCATTAAAGGTGTTCTTACACTGATGCCACTGTGTATGAAGCCCCTGCGGAAGCGTGCGGGTTTGAGGTGGGGATACTCCTCTGTACTGGTCACTTTGATGCCCCACACTTTCTTCCAGGCCTCGTACAGCTGCAAATGGATGGGATACACTCCAGAGTGATGGGGAGCCACCGCATAACCCATGTTTGTGGGAATGCCATGCTCCTGAAAGGAAACAGCAAAAAAAAGTGTGCTTCAGCATATGAACCACTAATTGTGCATAACTTCATCCTAACTTCCTCTATACCTCTACTAGGCGCTAAAAGTATAGTGTATAGTATATATATCCCTTGTGATGAGAAAGTGCTTTTGATAATTTTGTGTGCCACATACTGTGTGGGTTTGCATGTTATTTGTTAATTTAAAATGAATTACACTTTAAATTTGAAGTAAGTACATTTAAAAACTGCTGAGGCAGCTACTGCCTACAATATCTTGCTAATCTTTTACAACAAAAAGAGGCCCAAAAAAAGTCATAAACAATGCTTGATGGCAATATAAGCTCAAACATGCATGGGTGCGCAAAAAAAATTAATAATAAAAAATACCAAAACATCACAATTTTCTTTTAGCCGAACAGTGTAAAATAAAATAAAATATAGAAACTTTTTCTTCCAAAGTATTATCTGATAAATAAATCTAATGTAAAAAAAATGATATAAATATTAACTACAGACATAAAATAAATAAAAGGAGCAGCTGGTCTTCAGGCCCTAATTCTAGCACTTACCTGTTCGGTCTAATTAATATATATATATATATATAAAACACCTTGCTATGTGCACTGTGCTAGACTAACTGAGACTTGTCACAGCACTTGTATATTTTTGCTCTCTCGTTGGTCTGATTGCTTCTTCTTTGTAGGTCGCTTAGGATAAAAGCGTCTGCTAAATGACTAAATGTGACCCTGGACCACAAAACCAGTCATAAGGGTCAATTTATCGAAATTGAGATTTATACATCATCTGAAAGCTGAATAAATAAGCTTTCCATTGATGTATGGTTTGTTAGGATATTTGGCCGAGATACAACTATTTGAAAATCTGGAATCTGAGGGTGCAAAAAAATCTAAATATTGAGAAAATCGTCTTTAAAGTTGTCCAAATTAATTCTTAGCAATGCATATTACTAATCAAAAATTACATTTTGATATATTTACAGTAGGAAATTTACAAAATATCTTCATGGAACATGATCTATACTTAATATCCTAATGATTTTTGGCATAAAAGAAAAATCGATAATTTTGAGCCATACAATGTATTGTTGGCTATTGCTACAAATATACCCCAGCAACTTAAGACTGGTTTTGTGGTCCAGGGTCACAAATGTAAATGTAAACAGCCTAATTTTTTCAAAAAGGGTTTTATCCAAAAACAAAACAAAACTCAGATCTCTCTGATTATTTTATCTAGAGTCTCACCTCTGCAAACTTTCTGTTGAGCAGCATTTGTTCAGCCAACACAGACTGGTTGTGGAAGAGATGTGGCTGCATGTGACTCCACATGTGGGGGAACCACCAGAACTCCTTACTGTAGGACAGAAGCAGGTCATCTCCAAGATCCTCCTCATCTGTGCCTGAAATATAATTACATGGACACAAACGGTAAACATCTCGACTCTATTGCAAAAGCTGCCTACTAAAACAGCATCCTAACTATCACAGAAGCTCATAAGTAACTGATGCTCACACATACCAAAACAGCATGCTGTTAGCATTTTGTTAAGCTAACGATGTGATATTTGCTTACCAGCATGGAAGAACTTTCCAGAGAATCCCAAGTTGAAGGTGAAATTGGGCACGTGTGTTCGGAGTTCGTTCTGCGTCTCCAGTAGGGCCTTTGAAACAATGAGTTTAGAAATGTAATAAAAGTTGTTTAAAAGTCAGTAAACACACAAAACGCATTTAAAAAGCACACAGACAACAGACGAGAACACAAAAGAGATGCATAGCCAAACGACGTACGCCAACGCATGTATGCGCACAAGCACAGCGGTAACACAGTGCTAGAGGGACAGCGTAAGCATGTCTGCTGTCTGTTCGTCTCCTGTGTTTGCTTCATTACCCCTCTCAGATTTAGCTCCGCATCTGCCTCTCATTTGATTTGTTTACTGCGCTTGTTTTTGACTGCCTGTCTCTCCAGTGTGACTCAATCAAAAGACTGATTCATATTTAACTGCACAGAGGTCCACAGACAGACAAGACGGCTTTGATTATGTTTGCTTTCTATTCCTTCCCTCGGCTGAACATCTGCATCGGGGCGCTCCGAAGATGAGAGATTCACAAGGAGGACGCAGAAAACTGCGTTTGAAATATTCATGCTTGCGGCGAGTCTTTGGATGCCCTTTGAACAGCGAATCGTAAAAAAAATTATAAAATAAAAAAGGGAAATGGAAAGAAGAGGAGATATTTGGAAAATGAACGGCAGAGGTTGGAGTATTGAAAAAACAGACAACTGATGATAGGAAAAGTGCTGTCACGTCATGAAAACTTTTGGTGAATTATATGGATCTAACAAACCAGTTTCTCAATGTTCTGCTTCTGAGGTGCTACAGACAGATTAGCATCGCATCCCTCTTCTGAGTTTTCACCCATGCCTTTTTCATGGCCTCTTCTTTCCCCCAATGTATATATCCCTTGTTTTAAATGATTTCCTTTTTGTACACATTTCATTCTATGTCTCATTCCCAAATAAGATTTTTTTCTGCTGGTCCAGTCAGTCATTAGGTCATCATTTTCACAGGTCCCAGTGCAAAAAAATTGAACTTTTTACATTTTGAATAATTTTTAGTCAATTATGTAAAATTAAGTACAAATAATGTCAAACTTAAATCCTAATAATGCATGGAAATTACACAGCTATAAATGTAACTATTTGACAGCTACAAATTCATACAAGTTTGTTACAAAATGATTAAATATGGTGTACTGGTGATTTATTTTCATTTTTTCACTGATGCCTCAAAGACTATCACAAATCATTCTCCCTATTTCAGAAAACTTAATCCAAGTTCAGCGACACTGATGTATTTAAATTAGCAGAATTCACAATGTTCAGTACATCATAGAAAGTTCTCAGAGCACAAAAACATGTACGTGATTAACTTGTCATATGACATAGTGGCCAATAGGGCAGCATAAATTAGTCAACTGGCCAGAAATTATCTTACAATTTTTACTATTGAGCTCTGCTTTCTCTCTATGCGCAAATCTGGATCACAGAAATGATAAGCAGAAAAGGAGCAGGCAAGAGAGTAATACGATTAAGAAAAGTGGAGAAGAGCATTAGTTCTAAGTGTATGTATACTGTGTGGTTATATGGCCCTTAATCCCAGACTTCAGACAGCTACACTTGAGTCAAACGAAAAATATATAAATGTGATAGAACTGGTAAACTAGCAAACCATTTGGCATTTATTAAAGAAAAACTGCAGAAACATTTTTTTAAACAAAACAGCGCTCACCTTGACATCAGACACCTTCATCCTTGTGCCCTCCTTCCCAACAAAGATGTCATCGATATCCACCAGTATGTAGCGCTCAAGAGCCAATGAGAGACGTTTGCCAGTCAAGAAACTCACTGCGTCCACCAGTACCAGTTTGTGCAGCCAAAAGTTCAGGTTGTTGCCAAAGAGTACCCGCTGGATGCCATCATGAAGACCCAAATCCTGAACCACAGCTGCATGAAGGAGTCCAGGAGCTCCACTGGCCTCTGTACTCCGTCCCCGAGCTAACAGCACAGGCTCATAGGTGGTATGGTTAGACTGAAAGACCGTCCAGTCATCCCCAGGTAAGGGACCGTGCTCTACCTCCCGGGCCTTGGTGATGAGCAGCAGTGGAGACTTGGGATTGACGCTACAGTCCCGTAAACCCAGATTGGAGTGGAGGAAGAGAGGAAAGCCCTTGAGCTGGGCGCTCTGCAAACTGTTCTCATTAGCCTTTCATGAAGTGTTGGAAGAAGAGAGATAAAAATCCACATTAAAGGAGCAATATTCACAGATTCATTCATTCATACTGTTAGTCTAGGGCTGGGTGATAAAACGATAACTATAATTATCGCGCTATAATTTTACTCAATAATACGATATGAAGAGTTCGATAAATGTTCGATATAATGTTTATGTGCCAAAAGAGGAACAAAACAGTGCAACTCAATTGAAGCACGTCACATAAACTAAACCATTTATCCACTCGACTCAAAGTTCAAACGGCAGCGCAGCGCGAGCTCAGTAGAGCACATGCGTTTACTTGCTGATGAGTCTCAGTCACGCAAGCACTAAACAGCACTGTGAAATCCAGTGTGAAATGCTTAAATTCAGCGAAGAACGCAAACGATTTGGTGATTTAAACTAGTTTAAAGCCAGATGAAACAGAGCTGACAAACAGGAGAAACACTGTGCGCAACGATAAAGTCAGAAGACTTTTTAAATCTACAAATCACCATAATTTACCATGGATTTACAGTAGTAATGCTAACTGCACCATGTTACTGTGTCAGAGATGTGGGATATTCATATTTAATTTTATTATATGATTAATGTAGACATGGATTAAATGTATTGACGGAGTAATGGAATATCATTTCAGTATATTTTGAGATTAAGCTATAGTGTTTTTGCATTTATACTAAATGTATTTACGCTACTGTTTTTCATACAAATACCTAAAAACAACAGTTGCATAGTTTCATTGTACAATGGTATTGAGGTGCTATATATTTGTGGTTTTAACTGTGGTTATCATGATCTAAAATGTATGCTACTATGGAAGAACAATGGTTAATTTTAATATAACTCATAAATAGTCAGAATAATTCAATTTCACCATATAAAAATAACGGTTGTTACAGTTTTTTAAAGATTTTACTGTTTTTGATCATGAACATAAATTTAAATTTGCATCCTAAGTCACACTACTACTACTACTCTGAACTCAAACATTTCTATGAGACAAAAAAGTAATATTAATATTGCAGCCTGCACTGCAAACTGTGCTGAACATACTCGGCATCAAAGTCAGAAAACACAAATCTGTTTCATGATTTGAAACAATATCACTCATTAGAACATACAAAAACTAAGACATTTACTCTACAGAAACTAAGATATTTATTTTGTTGAGGAAAAATTACTGGAAAATCATTTTAAAAAGTGAAGTGTTTGACCATAAAGAGTAGTTTAAAACCACAGCTAACAGTGCGCTTTCTACAACTTTCATTTAGGAGCAAAAATCTGCCCTTAAACTTTTAAAGAAATAAATACAACCCTCTACATTGCGAGTAAATCACTCGCATAAGCGACTAAATCTTCACTCTGGGCGACTAAATGATGTCTAATATTAGCCTATTGCTAATAAATTCTCAGATTTTACTCGCCAATGTGTGAGTTGGAGGCTAAGTATAAGTTTAGCTCAGATATATTTTCACTCGCCGAACACTCTCCGACTGAGCGCTTCAGAGTTTCACTCTCCGCCAAGCGATCTGTGCTGTTTAGTATTTTTGTTAGTTTTTCCCAAATTTTTAATTTTTTTACAGAAACACTGAATAACCAAAAAAGCACCACCACCAGTCTGAAGTTCAGTTAAAATGACTAATATGCATTCATACATGGTTATCAAGTTTTAATTCTAATTACTAAAGTTCTATCATTAAATAATATTGATTATCATATTACAATGCTTGACTGACTGATGTTAAGAGTGTACTTTCAAATATTTATAAAACTGTGCCATTTTACAAACAAACATA